TTCACTTTCCTATTTTATATAGTCCATGTTATGGAGTAGATAATAGAGATTTATTGGCTGACTAAATGCATATTACATATTGTTTTTTGAGTAATATTTTAAAAAGATGTTTGAAGAATAATTTCCTCCAAACATTAAATGGCTATTTGACATAGTCAGAATCTTTAAAAAAAATTCTTAAATATGAAAAGAAAAATAGGCATTATTTCTTCCTTTTACTCCCATAATGGATACTTTTGGGTAATGTTGATGTTTGATTTATATAATATTTGAAGTGACCATTTCAAATTGCTAGTTCTTAAAATTAATAGAAGCCTATAGGAAATATGTTCTAATAAATAAGGAATGAATATTTGTTATGCTTTTAATTATCCTTACATATGGAGGTAATTTCATTCAAAAAAATTTTTCATTTTTTCCCAACTTTGCCTTTACGGTAGCTTAATACTAATCTCTCTGTTGACTTACCTTATTAGTTTGCTTACTCTGTTCTTTATTATCTAAACTGTATCATTCATCTTCTCATTTATTTATTTTGTATTTGTTAAGCATCTTTTATGTGCCAGACATACTAGGATTGCTTTACTAAATTATAGTGCTATTGCATGACCTAAAATATATGAAATGTCATTAAGTTGTATGGTAACGTTTAGTTTACTTTTCTTGTTTTTTGGGCCACACATGGCAATCTCAGGCCTTACTCCTGACAAGTTTACGGGGGGACCATCTGTTATGCTGGGGATCCAACCTAGGTAACTGTGTGTAAGGCAAGCATCTTACCTCTGTACTATCTCTCTCACCCTTAAAATGACATTTAAATGCAGTGATTATTATCAGAGTCTGAAGTAATTTTGTATAAAGTTAATTTTGGGTAAATTCTAAGGTGAATTTGCCAAGATTTTTGTGTGAAAAAATAATTCTATTTTGGGGGGTTTGGGTGGGCACCTGGCGGTGCTCAGGGTTTATTCCTGGCTCTGCACTCAGGAATCACTCCTGGCATGCTCAGGGGACTATGTGCACTGGGGATTTAAGTAGGTCAGCCAAGTGCAGGGCAAGTGCCCTACCCACTGTACTCTCTCACTGACCGGAGTGTGAAAAATTAGATTTTACAGTAATGAAGTGTTTAAAGAAGTAGGCTTGAAAGAATACATCAAATTTTGGATAATAAACATTTTAAGAAAAGTTTGGAATGTAGGAGGAGGTGAAATTTACTATACTGGGAAGCATATTTGGCGTCCTAAAATCCAGCTCATCATTTTGCAGATCACTGTTTTTAGTAACATGAAAGACTTGAGTAGGAATGTGTAAGAAGATGAATTAGTACAAGAGCATTAACTACTGTAGGAAAATTATTTTGTTTACTGCTTAAGAATCAATAGCATTTATTTTTTTACACAAAGGTCTGCCTTTATTTCTATCCAAATGATCATAACAAAGTATTTGGTAACTTATTATAAAGCAAAACTGATTTGGGTAATGTGAATATTATGATTTATTGTTTTGTATAAAAGAAGTACTGCAAGTGGGAAGAGTACAAGTGGGAAGAGTATGTTCTGATTTTGTTCTTGGGTCTTCTATCAAGTGATGTGTGACCTTGGGCAAGTTACTTTAATTGTGATCATTTTGTATCTTTAGGCTATAAAATGCTTCTAGTCTTAAGTTTCTAAGAATGAAATGTATACTAGTGTTCTTCATGAGTGTGTAATATAAATTATTTTAATAGGAAAGTAGATTAAAATTTTTGTTATTGTATACTTTTTCTTGTTACAGATTGTTGATTTCTAATCTCTAATGTTTCCAACCCAAACTGTTAAGATAAGACTTTTCTTTTACTTAGTTTGTAGTTTCAGATAGAGAATGTCTTTAATACATGTGAAATCCTTTGCTAGTGTATTGTTGAAGAAATCTGCTTTGCAGCTCTTCTGAAAACACCATTTTGTGATAGTGTTCCCAGAACTTTAGTTTCCTTATAATATGTATTGTAAACATTAATTCTTTCAGTTACCTAGAGCTATATTTTTTTGTAGCAAGTTAGGCATGTTGAGATCCTTAGGAAGTTACATAGATCACATTGAAGTGTTTGGATTAATTACTGGTGTAATGGATCTTGTTTTGAATTGTTTGTTTTCTATGATTGTTTTTCATGTCTTTTTGAATATATACTACTAAGGGGGAAAACTTCGTATATCAGAATGTTTGCTTTATAAATACAGTTGATTAATTTATCTTATTTTAAAATTTCTCATTTTTGACATTTCTTAGTTTTCTATGAATCATATTTTGGAAAATACACTGAGAGTATAGTATCCAACAGTAGTAGACTAGAATGATTTTGAGTCTGTTCTTTGCTCCCTCTCCCCACCATGTACTGCCTTCAGCCCTATGGCACATGAAAGGTTGGCCTTTTTTTCAGTCACATCAGCCTTGTCAGACTTTCTTAGAAGGACAACGTTAGTCATAATTCCTGGTTGCTCAGTGGTTAGGGAAATCAATTCTGATAGGCACTATTTAGCAAAATCCAGTTGGAGAAAACTGTGTCATAACATAGTTCATCCATTCACTTTTTTTCTAGTTATTTAAAAATGTGTGTCTGTTTTTGAACCACACAACATCAGTGTACATGAACCACATTTTTTTTCAGGCCCCTTTATGTGGCAGTAGGGCTGGAGCGATAGCAACAGCGTAGGGCGTTTGCCTTGCACACAGCCAACATGGCCGACCCGAGTTCGATTCCTCCGCCCTTCTTGGAGAGCCCGACAAGCTACCGAGAGTATCTTGCCCGCACGGCAGAGCCTGGCAAGCTCCCCGTGACGAATTCGATATGTCAAACACAGTAACAACAAAGTCTTCAATGGAGACGTTACTGGGCCCGCTCGAGCAAATCGATGATCAACGGGAGGGCCTTTTTACCTTTTATGTGGCAGCACTTTAACTCAAGTTTTCCTTGACTTTTTCATTTTTAATTAAGTTGAGAAGGACAGTAAGAAATAGCATTGTAAAGCTCATTGCTATGTGTGTGTATATATACATATATATCCTCACAGTCACGGTCCTCCCATTGTTCATCGATTTGCTCGAGCGGGACCAGTAACGTCTCCATTTTTTTGAGATTTGTTGTTACTGTATCTGGCATATTGAACAGCTACACCTGGCAGTATGTGTTGTGGGGTGCAAGTAGGGGGTCTGGGGAGGGTATGTAATACTTCAGAGCAAACCCTGGGCCTTATGTATACATACTGGAAACACATTTCTGAACTATGTGAAGATAATTTTGAGGACATGACACTGTAAGATGCCTTATAAAGATTCATTTAAATTCCACACTTTTGTCCCAGGAAGAACTGAGTATTTTTGGCTTTGGGCCACATCTGACTGTGATCAGGTTTTACTTCTGTGTCCTCAGAAATGACTGTTGGCAGCATTTGAGGGACTGTAGCATGCAAAGCTATCTTTCTGGCCCCCTAAATTTTTTTCTTTCAAATTGGAAAAATGATGCTCTTAAGTATTGAAATACTGTTTTCCCTAATTTACATTGCTTTGAGAAAACCTGTTGCTTAAACTGTAAATTTGTTACAAGTTTTCCACAAATATTTTGGCTTTTATTTTGGAAGCAGGAGCTCCCAAGCAGTGTTCAAGAGGTCTGAGCCCCTTTGGTATGCTTGGTCAACAGGGTCAGCAGTTTCAGTGTAAGATCCAGAGGATGCAGTGTTGCCCTAGTCCTGGGATGTTGGGTCTACTCCAGTTACTGCAGAGATGCTAGGGATCACCCGGGCCACAGATGGTGTGGTCAGATACATTCTAGGCATCTTGGTAGTATACTTTCTCCCAGCCTATTTGGCTTCTTTTTATCTTAAAGCTGTATAGTTTTGTAGTGAAGAATGTAAACGCTGGGGGAGGTATGGGGAAAGAATGTAAACTCAGGGCTATCGGGAAACAGGCTGAGCACATGTCTTACATACTAGAGACCCCAGGTTTTAACCCTAGCACCAAATAATCTCTTTAGCAGTCCTGATATTCAGCAAATAGGTTGTGAGCATGAGTTTCTACATTTGTAAAATGGAATTAGAAATAATTGTATAGAATTATTGTGAAGATTGCCTGGGAATAATAGAAGCAGGTATGATAGCTTTTGACATAATTTGAATATTGCATCCTTTTTCACTTTCATATTAACTTTACTACTCTAAAAAAGTAATTGATTTGGGGCCATAGAAATAGTATAGGGCTTAGATGCTTACCTTGCAGGTAACCAACTTCTCTTCAGTCCCTGACACTTATGTTTCCCAGAACACCACCAGGAGTGAGGTTTTTTTTTTTTTTTGCTTCTTGGGTCACACTCAGCAATGCAGATGCTGGGAATCAAACCCAGGTTGGCCACATACAAGGCAAATGCCACTGTGCTTTCACTCCAGCCCCCCAGGAGTGAACTTTAAGTGCAGAGCCTTGAGAATTGCTGGGTGAGGTCCCCAAAGAGCAAAAGAAAAAGTGTTTTTTAAGGTTATTTCTCTTACTTAGTATCATATACATTAATTTGTTCCTGGTATCAGAAACATAATCATGAAAAATTTCTTAGCATTTTATATTTTACATAAAGTACAGCATTTAAATTTGTACATAATTTATGATGTGTTTTAGAATTTACAGGAATTTTGAAAATGTACATACATGATTTAGTTTGCTTAACCCTCATTTTTGTTCTCTTTTCACCCCAAACCCATGTCAAACAAACTTTCTATATTATATGTGTAGGTGTGATTTTCTTAAGATATTTTCTGTTGCTGATTTGTAAGTTAAAAGTTATTTGAAATCTGTCACAAGACCATGGAAAGTGCATTCATTTTAGAACTATTTAATAAATACGTTCTCCAGCTTAAAGAGCTAGACTTTTATGTTAGGTCAGGCCAGTTGAAGACATTTACAAAGAATCAGTTGTTTGTTATTGCCCTGTGAGTTGCAAGAATGGAAAAAAAAGAAATTCTTTCTTCAATACTTCCTTCCAGGCTGAGTCATCACTAGAGAGTGGGAAGGGCAGCAGCAGCAGAGAATCCAAACCCCAAAGCTGGTATCACAAAGTACCATTTCTCCAAGTTGGGGGCTCAGAGGGGAGCCATCATGAGCGATGTTACCATTGTGAAAGAAGGTTGGGTTCAGAAGAGGGGTAAGTGTTCAACAAGGCAAAAATAATTTGGTTGGTAAGTGTACTAAACAGTTAATGGTGTCCTCCAAGTATTTTTTCTCATGCTGTTTACAGAGAAACTGACATACAATGTCCAGTAAGAAAGAAGTGATATTTAACGTATGTGTTAGGAATTTGTTATTTAGGGATTCTTTGTAATTCCTAAATGATTGTTAGGATAGTTAGGATTTCATGTTATATATGTGCATATTAGAGAAAGCTTGTGCTGTATTTTTTTTCATTTGTTTTGTTTTGACCAAATGTTCTGCCATAGTAAAATGTATGTAGAATGATTTAATATGAAGAAAAACATAACACATGCATTTAAGAACATGTGAATATATAAGTACTCAGACACGTTATCTTTTGGGGTGGTGATGGGGAAGGACTTCAATTACTAAGAGGAAAATGATTTTTCATAAACTCTTGAATTCAACAATCCCAAACATTAGGTAAGTAAAACTCTGGAGTTAAAGACTCAATGAAGAAAAACTTATTTCATTTTTAAAACTTTTTTCGGTATGTGTTTACTTTCATATTTTTTAATTTTTATGATCTTTTAACTATTTTTTGTTCACTTCTGCTTTGGATAACTAAATAAGATACATTTTTAATATTCATGAAATAACTTGGTTTATCCTTTATGAAAGCATCTGCTTGTATGGTCAATGTATATATTAGAAATCTAATTTAGACTAGTTGCTAGGAAACTTCTGTTTATCCACATGACCAAGTTGAGTAAGATGAGGGGAGGTTCCATTTAGAGAACTTTTAAGTTCCTTTGTATCTATTTTAAACAATCTTAAATAGCTCTTTTAGTACTTTTTTTTAAAACATGAAGTTAATACCTGTGTTGAAAAACTGTTACCAGTAGTTAAATGTGATTTGTATTAGTGCATCAAGAGATCAGATATACTACTAAGTTATAATTTACATGCAGTGGAATTCATAGAACTTTGAGTTATAACCGATGAATTTTGCCAAATTTATGCAGCAGTATAATAAACACTAGAATCATGATATAGAACGTTTCTATCACTGCCAGAGGTTTTGTCATTTTTTTTGCACTCAGTCCATTTCCTTTAACCTTGGCAACCACTAATATGCTATTACTATAATTTTATAGTATTTAGCATAAATAGGATTGTAAAATAGGTATTACAAAATATTTATATAATATTTAGCATAAATAGGATTATAAAGTAGGTATTGTGTCTTGCTTCTTTCTTACTGCACTTAAGATTTATCTCTGATGTGTATATCACTAGTTCCTTTTATTGTTGAGTAATATTCTGTTGTCTGGGCGTTCCAGTTTCTTGAGGGGCACTTTGGCTATTTCTAACTTTGGACTATTTTGAATAGTACTGCTATGAACGTCTGAGTGCATGTCTTGGCATGATTTGTTTTCAGTTTCATTGGAAAGTAACCTAGAAATAATAGTTCGGGATTGTATGGTAAATGTACGATTAACTTTATAAAACTATCCAAACTGTTCTTTTTTTTCTTTTTTAATGTTGGAGTAGTGCTATTTATTCAGCTATTGATTAGGCTGATTGAATTGGGCATGAGCTCCACATTCCTTTTTCAAAGAAATTTTTTAAATTGGATATCCGTGAGATAGACCATTACAAAGCTGTTCATAATTGGGTTTCAGTCAAACAGTGATGAGCACCCATCCCTCTACCAGTACACATTTCCCACCACCAGTGTCCCCGTTTCCCTACCATCATCCCCCAACCTCCCATCCCCTACCCCTAGCCTCCCTCTATGGGAGGCACTTTCCTTCTTGCTCTCTCTCCTTTTTCTCTTATGCATTATGGTTTGCAATTCAGGTGCTAAGAGTTCATGGTGTTTGTTCAGGGCATTTGGTATTTTTATTGAGACAGTAAGACTGGAGTAGCTTTTCAGTTGGGTGGCAGCTTTTGGGTGAAAGTCTGGAGATTTCAGTCACAAAACCTGCGTACCAAAATTTTCAGCAGATTATATCTTGGTGAGATCCATCCTGAGATGCTGGAGTCAGGCAGGGGGAATGGTGGCGATTTTATATTGTGCAAAGAACTGACTGCTGGGGGCTCTGTTTGGGCGGGCCCCAGGCCAGCTTGCCCTTCCGATTTACCCCAGTCTTTTTAGCCATGTGCAGGTCTGAGCTTAACTGCCTCTTTTGATCTCTTTCAAGATTCATTTGAGGGTCTCTGAAGCAAGGCCAATAGTAGAGCTTACAGGGTGCCTCTGGAGTTGGTTCGTGGGGTGACTGCCAGTGATTCCTTGAGTATTGGGAAGAGGGGGTGATGTAGCTCACTCCAACTCTGGGAAAGCCTAGAAATTTCAGTCACAAAACCCGCATACCAGAATTTTCAAAAGATTATATCTTGATGATGTCCATCCTAAAACGGTGGATTTAGGCTGGGAGTATGGTGGAGATTTTGGATTGTAGAAGCAAGTGGCTGCTGGCGGCTCTGCCTGGGTGCACCACCAAGCCAATCTGCTCTCCTCTGATTTACCCCAGTCTGTTCAGCCATGCATGGGTCCAAGAGTAACTTTGGCTTTTAATCTCTTTTGAGATTTATCTGTAGACCTCTGAAATAAGGCCAATAAGTGAGCTTGTATAGCTGAGCTTTGTGGTTTGTAGGTGTGGATCCCACATACCTAACTTTTGGCCGTTTGATTTCTTGGTAAACTTGGTCCCAAGTTGTTGGGATCTGGTCAAAGACACAGCGGCAATTTTGGGGTGTCAGGAGCCATCAGGCTGCTGATGCATTGTACGCAGGTACAGATTGACCTGTTGGTGGCACCATATCCCAAACTGTTCTCAAAGTGATCAACTGTTATGAGAATAAAATTATGAGAATATCATTAGAAATTAAATTTAGAAGTAAAATTTGAAATGATTTTAGATTTCAGTGTTGTAAGATGATTTTTAAACTTCAACTTTTCTATTTACATCATTTTATTTCCTTTTAAAAATTATTTTGTGGATCATAGTCCAGTGATGCCCAGGGACCACTTATGGTCACACTAGTAGTGCTCAGGGTCTGTGCCTTCCCCAGGATTGACTGAGGGACCTTAGACTTGCAAGTTATGTGCACTTCTACTTGAGCACAGCCATGGATCCTTCTGATTTTTTCTGGTGGGAGGTTTGAGCCACACTGGTGGTACTTCGGGACTATTCCTGACTTTGTTCTTAGAGGTCACCTAAGTTCTGGGTGACCAAGTATGGTGCTGGGCATAAAACTGGGGTCAGCTGCATTCAAGGCAAGCATCTTAACCACTATCTCTCTGGCTCCACTGCTGGTTTTTCTCAGGTTGGCAAATCACTAGAAACCATTGGAATTTCAATTGATCTCTAAAACCTGTTCTCATAAGATCATAATGAGGAATAAATGATATAAGGAATGTGGTGTGTTTTGAAATGTTTAATGGATATAAGCTGTTTCTGTTACTAAATTTTATGAAGAATTTATAGTGGCTCTTGCCTCAGATTGTTTTTCATTTGCGACAGTATAATAGATGGCTGGTGTAATATATAGGACATAGGAAAAATAAAAAGTGAATAGGCATTTCTCTAGTGTTTTAATAGGGTTGGTTAGGAAAAGGGAAGCAATGTGTAAGAGTGTGTGAGCACTTGCTGGTGTGTGTGTGTGTGTGTGTGTGTGTTTGTGTGTGTGAGCGTGTGCACATATTTACTTTGGGAGGTAAGTCATAAATGTAAGAGTTTGAATAACAAATAAGGCATAAAATGATATTTAAAATCTTTCAGTCATCTGCTCTTTACAAACTTGTTTCCCTCTTTAAAGATAAATATCTGGTTTAGATTTATTTTAGTAACAGAACTGCTGATTATTATACTGTTTCATTGTTTAAATCCTTTTTTTCCTGTTTGGGCCATATCTAGTGGTGCTTAGGTATTAATCTTGACTCTGCTCAGGGATGTCTCTTGGCAGGGCCCGGGGAAATTATACAGGGTGCTGGGAATTAAGCCTGGGTTGATCAGTTGTAAGTAGGTGCCACATCCACTGTTATTCCAACTTTTTAATATAAATTTTATATGTTGGATGTGGCCAAAAACCAAACAAATAAACATTCAAAACAGAAAAGACATGAGACCTATGAATAGAACTTATCCCAAAATTCAGTAACATATTAGCTGAACATCATACCCAGAATTTAAATCCCTTAAATTTAATATAAATTCCCATACCATATATTTAATATAAATTTTATAGACATTTTTCTCAAGTGACCTACTATTCCTCATGTTCATTGGTTTTGAAAAGCAGTAACAATATTAAGTAAATAAGCTCTAATCTCTAACTCTTGCTAATTTATAAAAAGTAGTATGGTTGAATCCACAGAGAACAAATTAATTTCTTATATTTTGTTGGTACTCAAGATCAGCCATATTTTAGGTTTACCTGTGATTTACCTGTATCTTCCCCTGGTATTTTCTTATTGCCATCATTTTGCCCTCTAGTTGAAGAGTCTGTATTTTTATTTAGTTTTTCAGTTATTTAATTTTACTATTGGTTGACATTCTAAAACAAATTGATAAATTTTCTGGGTATGATATTCAGCTAATATGTTGCTATTTTTGGATAAATTCTATTCATTCTTAGATATCATGTCTGTCTTCTGTACTGGATTTTTGTTATTTTTTTTTTCTGCCACATCTGACATTGCTCACCTACTCCTGGCTCTGTGCTCAGGGATCATTCCTGGTGGTGCGTGGGGCTTCATATGTGGTGCTGAGGATAAAACCCAAGTCAGTTTTGTGAAATGTAAGCACCTTACCCACTGTATTATCTCTCTGGTACTGAGTTTTTGGATTTTGTAGTTTTTAGAGTGAATCCCAAAGCGAACTTAAAAAAAACAAAGAGAATGTATGGGGGTTGGAGAGATAGTACAGACTTTATGGCACTCACCTTTCACACAGATGACCTGGATTCAATTGCCAGCACCCATATGTTCCCTCAAACCCTGGAGTG